CCCTGATTGACACAGGCATAAAGACAATTACAATAACGGTCTTGATGCATCTGTGAGCAAGCACAAATGTGAGGAGTAATATACCACCTCACGAACAAATCCCAGAGGAGTACTGTGGGAGAAAACACTTTCAAAGGTATATGGAGACAGGCGGGAGAGGGGGCAGGAAAGATTCATGCGGATTGCTTGGTTTGTTTAAGATGAGTGGATAAAAGGAGACCGGGCGGGGGGAGGAGTCCTGGCTAATGAGTGGCACGATTCGAGAGAAAAAATTCCGCGGGTCTCGAGGTCGCAAAGAGGGTCGGTGCGGATGGTAAGTCGAGTCAGGAAATGCGAAATCGTAAATCCCTGTTCCCATAGGACCGATAGGATTCTCTCGGTAGGTAGATGAATGAATGATACGGTACAGATGGATAATTTATGGTCTCATTTCCCAAGCGCCCCCTCCCACTACCTCCACCAACATGCAGATTGCTTCATCCGATCTGTATGTTCACTCAGCCCAAAACCAAACGATCCACACCCGAGTGAGCACCGTGCACATAAATGCGTCTCGTCTTTGTTCAAACGTGAAATTCACACACGCTATGACGGAGCACATACACGCTAACACCAAGCGCCCAGACGAACCGAATGGTGATACACAAAACGAAAGCAATCTGCGCACATACGAGCAAGGGAGAGAAGAAAGTAATATTTGCAGACATGCGAGCTTCCGTGTCAGGTGGCCGGATCAATTGAAGCAAAAGGGTTAAGCGTCGAACACTTATCGGTTTGTAAAACCGAACGACACTGTACCGTTGGTATGGCTGGATGTCGTAAACAGTGGCATTTGTGCACCTTCTCAATTTCTTACTGGAGTTCTCAATTTTCTCTTCGACCCTACCTTCAACTTTCCTGTTCTTCTCCTATCATTCATCCAAATGGGCAGCCAAAAGACAGCAACCAAAACCGCCGCACGAAAGTGCATGGTTAATGGTTGATCAAACTGAAAATGAAACTGTTGGTATTAACGACCGAAACGATGGGTGGTATGATCAAATTATTCGATCAACAATGCTCAAAGAGTGGAATCCGGCACACACGTTTTGAACTCACTGATGTTCCTTGCAACTGAACAGAACAAAGTCGAACTGAAGCAGTCAAAACCACGAAAGAAACTCATGTAATAAGTGTTATTCCAAAGAAGGCAGAGGTGATGAACAGGTAATATCCCAATCAAATTGTGCGGTTCAATCGAATTAAGCAAAATGGGCTACAGGAATTCCTACAGGTCAGCTGAACTCAGTGGCACCGGAGAAAAATAAATACAAAAACAGAAGAATGGAAGATATATTCAACTAAGCGAAAGAAAAGAAAGACTGGTATTCGGTTTATTTGATCGTTGCAACAACGAGAGCGACTTCCTTCGCTCTTTTTCTTCAGGTTAACTGAATAATACAATTGCAAGTGAGCACATAGAACCTAAAAAACCCCTCAGTTTGCATGATTTAGCGTGATTGGAACGAACCGATGAAACGAAAGGAGAAAGAGAGGAGGAGACCATGGGCATTGGGCAAAGTATTCAACGTTCCCAGCTGATTCTCAATTACTTCTAAGAAGAAAATCGAATAAATTCAAGAGTGTGAGATCGATTTACGATATTTGGATTTCGGCACGAGGGTGTTGGTGAGTTGGAAACGAAACACCACGAGATCTAACCAAACAGATACCAAACGAAAATCAGTAGTTATAATTTACCGGTGAACGACAGACAGTCAAACCACACTTCCCCACGGGAAGACAAAGTATACGAGGAGGGGAGAGGAGTGGATTCATTTTACTGGAAGGAACTGTGAACTGTGGACTACATCGTTATCATCAGTGAGTAGCGTTCCAACCAAATTCAATCAAATCGGATTCGGTTTTGACGAGCGATCTACAGAATGTTCCAATGTGTGGGCTCATGCAATTGGTTTGGTCTTCATCTTCTTTTGATGGGTATGAAGATCAAATTCATCGCCTCAGTGGAAGATATTTCAAACGTGAAAAGACGCAAATGTGGATACAGTTGATGCCACTAAATCGCAATGTTCAATGTTGTAGGTCACAATCACGAGGATCAGAAAGTCGTGTGTTCAACTCCCACCACAGCCACCGCCTACCATTCACACTTATCCATTCACCTTTAAAGCATCAT